ATAGAGTTTTGATTGGAGCAGGAAGCTGCTCTACAAGAGATCAAAAGTTGACTGGACCACAAAATCGAGGAGATGAAATGATGTGCGAGCGAGCTATTGTTTTTCCCCTCCAGCGACATCAGCTTGGTTGACCATGAGTTCCCTGACGACATACTCCACCGTTAGTTTGTATTCAACCTCGCTTAGAAAAACTTCACCTATAAAGAGTTCTTATATCTCTTCTTTTGAAGAGAACTATGACGGGGAGCAGCTGGTTTCTTTTTGCAAAAAAGGGAAGCAAAATTGCTCAATTGTTACTGCTTCACCGATCGTGAATCCACTGACAGCGACCGTTGGTTGTTCTTCATCCTTGCTAGGACAGACCATCTATGGAGAGTTATGGTACATATTCTTTTGGATTACCGTCAAATTCAACTCTATTAACGTTCTGTATAGCGAGAGAAATAGATGGAGTTCCTCCACGTCAGGGAAACCACAAGGAGCAATCGATCTCTCTTTGGACTGGGTATACTCTCAGAAACGAAAACCAACAACCATCTTCCCCTTCTGTTTTACCAAAATCTAATCAAGCTTCCCTTCAGGTTCCTTTTCTACCTCCATTTAAATCTACTTGTTTTTTCACCCAAGTTGCATGGTAAAAATTATGGAGATGATTGGGATCATGAAAAAGTTGAGAAAAATTGGAGTGATGGAGAAGAATTTAGTTATTCTTGTGGTAAAGTGGTGAATAGCTGGAGATCTAAGGAGGAAAAAAAGTGGTGGTGGACTACACACAAGTTGAGAGCAAAGGTCGGCTGGTTGAAATTCCACTTACTAAGGTTGCTGCGTATAAGGTGTTTGTGAAAAGTTCATAAAAAAAAATTGGTCTGAAAATCAGCTTGAGATTAAAATTTTTGTTGTGGAGGATGGTCGTTTTCTCTGGAATCAATTGCTTTACTTCTCCAAGAGTAATAGAGCCTAAGTATTTTAATTTAAGAATGATTGAATAATGAAAATTTCAATCAAAGAATGACTTTTTTCGTGTGATGATGAACATCTGTGGGGACTTTCATAGGGAGGGTATTGTCGGACCCCAACTAATAGTGGTTAGAATTTGTTACAAATAATTAGTTAGGTTGTTTTACTTAGTTGGAGATTAGTTTCAATTAGTTACTTTTTTGCTATAAAAAGGTGGTGTTCAAATGGGTTCTATATCAAGAAAGAATATGAATGATTATTGAATTTCTTCTTTGCAGCTTTGCGGTGTTTCTTCAGTTCTTTTCTTTCCTCTCCTTTTCCTTTATTTCTTCAAATCACGGCACGCTCCTGACAAAATCTATCCCTAGTTTTATGGGTTGCATGAATTCAAACAACCTTTTCTTCACGAATGTGGTGAATGTGTTTAGTCATGTCTTGTGGCACAAGATAGCTCTTCTGGAGAACACACGTGTGGGCATGAGGATGGTGGTTTCCTACCTCTGTTTGCTAAGATATGATCCTCTTCTTTCAAGTGGTTATGAGAACTTTGCATTTCGTACTGTTTGCAATTTTT